TGTTTTGGGATAAAATAATGTTGGTCCAAAATAGGACGCTCGTAGGCTTTTGAAAAGCTACATAAGAACACTCAAACAGGAATAAAAAATAATATGAGAATGGAAAGTTGCTCAGGAGTTTTAGTTGCCAAGAATAGCATGTCATTCATTTGAACCGGACTTGCCTTTTATAGGCGATTACATATGGTAACTGCCAAAGACACTAATGACTAACTTATTACATTATTAATACAGAATTAAATACATAATTAAGTCGCGCGTTAATTGCTCTGGCCGTTACTGTTCTTGGATGGCGGGCCGGCTTGGATGGCAGGCCGGGCGTTCGGGCTCCCCGGGCGGTAGGCTTCCGCTGGACCGGTAGGCAGGCCGGCTTGGGCTTCCGCTCCGCTGGACTTCGCTCCTTGATGGGCTTGATCGGTTGGGCCAGCTTGAGATCCGGATTGCTCGGTCCGCTGGTTGGGCCTGCTGATCCAAGTTCGGGACCTGGGCCGATTAGGAATTGGGCCTAGTCCCCAAGTGCTCTCAATGAAAGCACCAATGCTGGTTCAAAATAGGACGCTCGGAGGCTTTTAGGAAAGCTACGAAAGAACACTCAAGCAGGAAAGTAGAAAGCAATACGAATATGGAAAGTAGCTAGAGAGTTTGAGAGCCAGAAATAGCATCTAGAATTCGCTTCCCTTTGTTTGAATTACAACGTGCCTTTTATAGGCGTATACAATTCGTAACCGTTACCGATACTAATGACTAATTAATTACAACATTAATACAGAATTAAATACATAATTAAACAACGCATTAATTGCTTGACCGTTACTTTTCATGGCTGGCGGGTCGGCCGTACTGGCAGGCTCCCCGTTGGGGTGGTAAGCAGGCTCCAGGTTGTGGATCTAGATCCACGGGTCCAAGTTCGGGGCGTGGGCCGATTAGGCTCTGGGCCTAGTCCCATAACTCCATCACATAACATTATTTATAATGAAAATGTAAGAACATGAAGAAAAATAATAATAAAATTAGTAAAAATTAAAAAAAGAAATAATTTCATATTTATGTCTAAAATAAAGAATGTTTACAAAAATGTGATAGTGACTATTAGTCATGTTTGAGTAAATAAATTTTATTTTAGTAATATTTTTGAAAAAATCCTAAAAATATCGAAAAAATTAAAAATACTACGTTTAAAAATATGTAGGTCTTTACTCCCGCCTCATCCCTATTAAATTTAGTAGGGAAAGTTCCCGAAATGGGACTAAAAAAGTTCGAAAATTCCAAAATAGGACTGTCATGTTTTTATTCCCAAAATAGGAATAATTACTGCCAAATTTGGAAAATACTGTCATGTTTGAAGTCTGGTACTGCCAAAACATGACAGTAATTAGTCCTATTTTGGGAATAAAAACATGGAAGTCCTATTTTAGAATTTTCAAACTTTTGTAGTCCCATTTTGGGTAATATCTCAATTTAGTAAGGATTTTATCAACGTAATGAGATTGACATAGCGTAAGACCGTCAGGTCCTCTAATTATTTTAATCCCAAGGATTAAATCGGCCAGCCCCATATCCTTCATGTCAAACTTCGAATTTAACATGCTTTTGGTAGAATTAATCATTAGATTATTGCTACCCATGATGAGTATATCATCTACATATAAACAAAAAATGACATAGCCGTCTACCGTGCTTTCACATAGACGCATTTGTCACTTTCGTTTATTTTAATCCGTAAAATGATTTAATTAATTTACAAACTTTCCTTTCTTGGCCTGGAAATCGAAAACCCTCGGGTTGTTCCATATAGATTTCTTCGTCTATATCGCCATTTAGAAAAGCGGTTTTTACGTCCATTTGATGAACTTCCAATTTCCGCAATTGCTAGTATCATCCTAATGGAATTTATTCTCGTTACCGGAGAATTCGTGTCAAAGTAATAATGACCTTCACGTTGCTTGTATCCCTTAATTACAAGCCTAGCCTTGTACTTATCAATGAAACCATAGGGTTTAGGGGTAGTTCAGTACGGTATACCAAATATTTTATTGTATACCTTTACCATACCGTAAACTTTCGGTATGCAAAAATACATACCGTTACCATACCGAAATTTCGGTATGCCTTGTTTCGGTATACCAAAATTTCGGTACGGTAAGGTACGGTATCGGTAAATTACCATGATTTAATATAAAAAATTATTATATGTCAAATGAAATAAAGAAAATCAGTGTTAATAGTGATATACTAAAATCATTAATGAAATTAATTATAAAATACCAATGAGATAACCTATTTGTGTTCTTATCAACTTTTGACAAAAAATATTATAAATATGTATAGATATTTCAACACATGATATATGAAGATAACCACACATTCTGCTAAAATAATTTAAACAACATAAATATAATTAAAATAACACCGATCTCCAACAAAAAGTATAATTAATTCAATAAACATGAATATAAAGTCATTTATCCTTGAATTAGTGTTGTGTTTCTAGTTATTTTTACAATTTTAAGGAAATTATTGACTTGGATTTACGGTATGATGGTATACCGGTATATCGTTTATTTCCAAAATATATACCGATACCATACCGAAGTAATTCGGTACAGTATCATATCGTACCAAAAGTGTCGGTATACCAAACATTTCGGTAATTTCGGTATTTTTCGATATGGTAAGTCCGGTATACCGAAATTTTGGTATTTTTTTCCCACCCCTAATCGGGTTTCATTTTCCGTTTAAAAATCCACTTGGATCCCAAAGGTTTACATCCCGGAAGAAGATCAACCAGTTCCCATGTGTGATTTTGTAGGATAGAATCCACCTCACTTTTGATGGCTTCTTTCCACATAGGACCTTCGGCAGACGTTACGGCTTCCGTATAAGTCTGTGGCTCATTTTCTACCAATCATGTTACAAAATTTGGTTCATTTTCTACCATACATGTTAGAATGTTGGAATCAAATTCTACCAAGTATGTGAGAAAATCCGGTCCAAAGGGTTTTTCAATTCTAGCACGTTTGCTACGTCGGGGTTCAGCTTCTTATCCGGATCCCTCGCTAGTATTTTCCATAGCTACGTCAAATGTATGTTTTGACGTGCTTGGTCCTTCGTTGGACTTGCATGGAAATACGTCTTCAAAGAATGATGCATTCCTTGATTGAATTATTGTGTTTTTATGTATATCCGAATTATTCGAATCGTACACTAAAAACCGATAAGCACTACCATTTTGTGCATACCCAATAAAAATACAATCCACCGGTTTTGGACCTATTTTTATTTTCTTAGGTGTTGCTACAAGCACCTTTGCAAGACACCCCACACTTTTAAATATTGATAGGAAGGCCTTCTACCTTTCCACAACTCGTACGGAGTTTTATCATATTTTTTCCGGAGAACCTAATTTAAAAGGTAATTGCTTGACAAAACTGCTTCGCCCCACATATTTTGTGGCAGGCCCGAACTTACTAACATCGCAATCATCATATCATTCAATGTGCAATTCTTTTGTTCGGCAACACCGTTTGATTGAGGTGAATAGGGTGTGGTACGTTCGTGTACTATACCCACACTAGCGCAAAAGTCACCAATTGGTGCTTCATACTCACCACCTCGATCACTTCTAACCATTTTAATCCATCTGTTATGTTGATTTTCCGCTTCATTCTTATAAAGAATGAATTTATCGATTGCTTCATGTTTATTTTTTAATAAATAAACATAGCTATGCGGGTGCTATCATCGATAAAAGTAATAAAATACTAGTATTTATTACCACCACGTGTTTGTATTGATTTAAAATCACAAACGTCACTATGAATTAATTTTAGTAGTTTCGTTTTTCTTTCAACCGATTTGAAAGACGTTTTCGTTAGTTTTGCCTTGACACAAACTTCACATTTGTGCTTCACATCAATTGTGAATTTAGAAATGTGTTCCATGTTAATTAATCTACGTATAGAATTAAAATTAACATGTACTAGTCTACCATGCCACACATTGGAAGACTCAAGCAAGTAAGCATAAGGGATTTTATTATTATTAATAATCGTTACATTGAGCTTAAACAGCCCATCAATTGCATACCCCTTGCCCACATACATACTATACATCAATTGTGAATTTAAGAATGTGTTCCATGTTAATTAATCTACGTATAGAATTAAAATTAACATGTTCTAGTCTACCATGTCACACATTGGAAGACTCAAGCAAGTAAGCAGAAGGGATTTTATTATTATTATTAATAATCGTTACATTGAGCTTAAACAGCCCATCGATTGCATACCCCTTGCCCACATACATACTATACCCCATGTCGCGCTTTTTGTTCTCCGGTTTCGTGATTTGATTTGCACCCCCCCCCCCCCCCCCGCGCGCGCAAAGAGAGCCTTTCCACTTAGGAATCTTAATTCCATAGAACGGGCTTCCCTTTATAAGGGGTTCAAATTTCCTTGGGTTTTCCGGTGTGGGAAATAACCACACTAGAAACCCATTTTTTCTTAGTTTTCTCCATTTCAATGAGTGAACTTCGAGAATCAATTTATCATTCACCCGTTATCCGTTTTGAGCGTACCATATATTGAATTGTAGTCCTAAGCATGGACAATCCGGAACCACTTTGACCCGACCCAAATCGAAAGTGGATCCCGTCTATTAACACATTTTCCAACAGTGCCTAAGTGTGTGTGAAAAGGGAAAATGAATATCCGATTCTGCTCATCGGAATGTTTCCCAAATAATTAAATACAAGATTTCTCAAAATTGCATTAATTAATGTCATTGAGGCATTTCCACAAACACATTTCAAGCAATAAAATTCAATACTAATCAGCCAGTATTTCAATCACATAAATAAGCTCTAAACAACCCCCCTAACCCAACTAACTACTCATGCATTGCAAATAAAATAAATACATAGACCTAAAAGTGTATAAATAAAATTAAAGACTTAAACTTGAATTTAAGTATTTAACTAAAGTAGAAGATGTAGAAAAATATCACCCGAATAGATGAGAAGCAATTCATTGAAGTGCAAGAGGAGAGCTTGAATATTGTAAGACAAATCTCTACAAATCTACACTCATGTGTAGAGAGAAGAAATGCAAAAACCGTAAAAACTATTCTAATGGGTCTTCTCTAATGACCTCCCTCAAAAATGGACAGACTTGAGATATTTGTAGGGCTGAATTCGGCCTTGGAAAATTACCACTAAGGGTAGAAGCGAGAAAATGAATACAAAGGGTGCTGGCCTTGGTTTCTTCTTCGTACGCAGGCCGCAACAACAGCAACCGGGCTTCATCTTCGATCTTCTTTTCGCAGCGAGCCCTTCTTCTCTGAATCGAGGCACGTCGAAGACGAGAGCAACTGAATTTTCTTCTCCATCGATGCAGCAACAGATTCTTTTCTTTCGTTTTGGACGACGGAGGCCGGAAGATTCGTTGTGAAAAGAGGGTGTTTGCCGATGGTTGGATTCCGACGTGGAGCGGTGGTATGGCGGTGGAAATAGGTGGCGACGGGGGATGGGGACAACGTCAAATGCACAGGGAAGGGACGGCGGCGTCTCCTCCTATTCTTCTCTGAGCGCCTGCCTGATTTCCGGCGGGTTGCTCTCCACCCTGCTTGTTTGTTGCCCCTGTCCAGAGATGACAGTGGGAAAGGGGAGGGTTGACTGGCCATTGGCAGGTCAACCCCTGTTTGACTCGGGATTGAATTTTAATTATTCGTTGTCTTCAATTTGCTCTCGAGATGCTTCTTATTCTCCAAAAATCTGATAAAACACATAAACCCGATTAGTAGCATCCGTAATTAAAATAAAATTGAGACTTCAACAATTCAAAGCAAAATTAATGAAAAAACCAATCAAATGTGGGATAAAACAAGATTTTAAAATATGAAAATTAAAGCGTTATCAAGAGCATAGCCAAATTAAAGTCTTTGACCCGTCTAAACCCCAATATAGATTTAATTGTATCACACTCTCCCCTGAGTAGCTCTAAAAACAGAAGACTATCATCAACAAAGAGAAGATGGTACACCTGTGGGGGGCCCTCAACACACGGAGACCACATGAATGTCCACCCCCTACACTCGACATGTCGGAGAGAGACACTTAGACTCTCTGTGACTAAAATTAAAAAGATAATGACCCCTGCCATAATCCATGATAGGGAGTAATAGGCCCAATAAACTCCCTCTCAAATGGGACACAATACTAGACAGTACTAATACATATCATAATCACCTGAATCCAGCGTGCATGAAAGCCAATCCGCTCCCTATTTCCACATAAGAACCCCCAGTTTATCCGATCAAGCTTTAATGCCGCAAAATCCCTCCTTCCCATATCTTTTCCTCTTAATAAAATGCTGATTCTCAAAAGCGACCATGATGTTATCCACGTTCGACCGCCCTGGTATAAAGGCGCCAACATTCCTTTCAACATATTAGCTAGCACTTTAGAGAAAATTTTATAGACCACTTTACATTATGCAATCAGCCTCCAATCAACCATATTAACAGGCTTCTCCTTTTTCGGGATTAAAACAGTATTAGTAGTACTTATATCTTGAGGCATATTCCCGATTAAAAATAGAAGCACAAATAGAGATAATATTCGCCCCAATAATATCCCAAAAAGCCGGAAAAAAAAAACGTGAGATTCATACCATTAACTCTTGGCGCCTTATCTGGACGCATACCAAAAGCGGCCTTCTTCACCTCCTCTACCCTGTTCGGTCTGATAAGCTCTTGATTTTGTGCATACAAGACCTGTTTGAAGTCATTTTCAATCTCCCCTTATCGCCCCACCGTGCTAGAACCAAACAATCTCACAAAATAATCCTCCACAAGAATTCTCATTTCTGCTCTGCCGCTAGTTCAGACCCCGCTCCATTCTCCAGGCCAACCACTTTATTGGTTCATCTTCTTTGCTTCATTGCATTATGAAACTATTTAGAGTTGCAGTCCCCCTTTTTTAGCCAAAACTCCTTAGCCCTTTGTCTCCAAAAACTATTTTCTTTTTTCCAATAACACAACCAGATCAGAGTCATTCGTACATGCATAAATTCCATAAAACTATGTCGGTCGCATTTGTCGTGCAGCCAGGCCAACCTCCTTTTACATGCATAAATTTAAGCTCTAAATCCATGCCTTCTTCTCCGATTCCAACTCTAAAGTTCCTTCCCATAATATTTCAGCCTCTCACTAATAGGAAAAACAACCCCTGCCCGCCAACTATACTCAACCACAACTCGACATCCTCCTCAGTGAGCAGATACTTTCAAATTTAAAGGGTCTACTTCTGCGTCCACCAACATTACGTTTAAATTCAACATATAATGCCATATGATTATTTATCGGAGCTTCCACCGACTTTGCCAATCCTGCATTTAACAAATCCCACTACACATCATTTACCAGAACATGGTCAAGCTTCTCCTCGACCCAATGACATGTACCCCCCCCCCCCCCCCCCCCCGTCCATGATCCCATGCCCACTGATAGCCATCAAAGGGAAAGTTCCTAAGGGAACTTTTATACACTGCCTCTCGGAAACCCCTCATCCTCCATTTCGGATGTGGAACATGTCCCCTTTTTATGATGCGTACAAAATATCGTTGAAGTCGCCGATCACCAACCATGGCAGATCAGACCTGTTAGTCATCTGATGCAGCAGAGCCCACATCTCTCTCCGCCGTCCAGTCTCCAGGAAGCCATAGTAGCCGGTAATAGGCCAGGTTCGATCCTCCATAAATGATTTAAATCTGCAATCGACAAAAGCAAATTGGGCGTCAATTACTTCAAGCTCCACATCGTTGTTCTAGGCTAAGAGCAGCCCGCCACTAGTCCCTTCGCTATCGACGCCTACAAAATGTTGGAACCCCGTCGGCCGCACAAACTCCTGAGATCGAAAAGCCCTAGCCTTTGTCTCCATAAAAAAATAAGATCGATGGCTTCTATTCTGACATCAATTGGGTGGTAGCTAGATTCCCCAAATCATCTACAATTCCAACTAAGTATACTATTCGTCTCGCCTACTCGTCTGATCAACCTTCGTTGCGTCAGAAATGATCACCACGGGTAGTTTCGCCGGAAAAACATTGCCTAGGAAACCCTAAAAAAAACTCTAAGTAGAATAGATGGTTGAAAAGTATTTCTTGTAATTTAAAAAACGTTAAAAATTGTGCAGTGAAAGAATAAAGATTATCAAAAGAGAAGTAAATAACATGGAGTATTGACTTGTTGTCCACGTATTTTTACTCTAAATAGGTACTCTCCCTCCGTCCCTGAAAATACTTCCAACTTTTCCTTTTCGTCCGTCCCAAAAAGAACTTCACTTTCTCTTTTTGGCAAAGAATTTGTGGTTCACAACATTTTTCTCTCCTCTACACAACTCTCCACCAAACAATTCTCACTTTATTTTGAAAGTAAATTTAGGGACGGAGGTAGTAATATTTACTCTACAAGAAATTTAAAAAAAAAAGGTACTAGTGGTACAAAATTTCGTGTGTGAGCAGGGGAGTATGAGATGATAGCATCATCATACAATGATATCATCAACTTTTATATAAAGTGACCATGTGATGGTTAGTAGTCATGATGGCGATATATCGATAAACTAAAATAGGTTTTTTTTTTTTTTACTAAAATAGGTTTATAAAACAACCATATATGGAGTAGTACCTTATTTAAAGCCCGTGTGTTAATACCAAATCCGATGAATCGGTTGATTGTACTAAAACTTATGAAATTCTGATTGAAGTGATTGAATTGACTGATTCAGCTGATTTATAAAAAAAATTAAAATATATTTTAGTAATAAAATAAAGAAAAAATTATATGTAAAAATAGCGAAAATGATCATTTACAGTAACTTCAGCCAATACATCCAGAAAAGTAACTTCAACCTTACTTTTTTATTATTATAAGGCAATTCAGCATGCGAAATCAAAAATTACGCGTTTAGTGAAAAGTTGAGTAATAAGCTGAAAAACTAGGCTACCAAACGGACTCTTAAACTACTCCCTCTATCACTCAAAACTTTGTTATTTTTTCTAGGGAAAATTATTATTAACCCCCTAAAGTTATGTCATAATTATTAATGTTATCTTGCATTTTCAATGCAAATTGTTGTCATAATTATTAATGTAATCTTGCATTTTCAATGCAAATTGTTACCCCCCCCTAATGTTAATATATTTGTTAAATCAAATTTAATATAACTCTTATATTCAATGCAAATTGTCTATAAAAGTAAATTTTAAAGTAAAACACAAATTATTATCATAATTATAAGTTATTGTTGTTGGTCGTTATTTTTCTACTTAGCTACTCCATCGTGGAATAGATATTATTGAAACTAGTTAAGTGAAAATACTCACAAGTAAGATATAAAATATCATGACTTTTAATATTTTATTTAAAAAATTAAATATCGATTAAGGTTATAAAACTACTGTCAAAAAAGAATTTTTGTGCGGATAAAATCATCACAAATTAGTAACAAAGTTAATAAAAAGCTCAAATAAATCAAAATTAGGGGTGTGATCGGTCCGGTCTAGGTCGTTTTTTTGCTAAACCCAGAAATTACCAGTAACGTCTCGAGTTATGAAAATTAGGGATCAAAATAAAGCCCATTACATTGGTCTGAGTCAGGGTTTTGGTAGCCCGGGTTCGGGTTGAGCCGATTAAAGCCCTAACGTGAAATCATCTCATTTTTAATTTCTTTTACATTAAAATTTATTTTCAAATAAAATTAATCAAAAATACAAACCGCAAATAATAACACAAATATTAATCTCCAAAATCACCAACGATTCAAATCCAAAGAAGACAATTATCTTAATATTTTGTTTAAGATGCATATAAATAAATCATATAGCTTTTCTAAAAATATTATTAAATAAAATTTTTAATAAAAATGTGACTCTAGTTAATATAAATAAATTTTCATGATCATTACGGTATACAAAATTGAACATATTTGTAGTCACTAAAAGTTACTTAGTCATTCTTTTATCCACCATAATTATAATCATATATTAGGAATTGTTTATTATAAGTTAGATTCATATGTAATATTGATTATTTGATTTTATAATAAAGTTATTTGTTCCGGGTTTTTATCGGTCTGGGCCGGGTTATAGATTTTAGAGCCCGTTTATGAGCCTGAATATTCGGGTTCAGTCCGGCTTTATATTATTCGGTCCGGTTAAAAACTAAAAAAAAAAATAGACCGGGAACATAATAATATAATTTACTAACAATTATAATTTACTAACAATGTGGCAGTTCACTCAAACATAAAGAACTTGTTCGGTGATACTATTTTTCTACTTATAACCTTTTTCAGTCAACTATTTTCCCAAATATGTAATTTTTTATTGCAAGCGCTAAATTGTGTAATAATCAAAATAAGTAATGTTGAAGTTATTTTTCTAGTTGAATTGGCTGAAGTTAGTATAGATGACTAAGTTGAACTTAATACATTTTATTAAGATTAGCCAATTCAGCCAATTTCAATGTTATCAAACGAGCTCAAAAAATACCCATTTTCTAGAAACAGCATGTGTGTGTTTAAAGGGAGTAATGTTTTAGCTTAGTCAACATTTGAAATACATTTAGATAAGTTTGACTTTGGAATTGGATAATTTTGGGTTTTATACAACAATATTACTAAAATAAAACTTATTTACATAAATATGACTATTCATTACTATAACGTAGTGTTGTGGTAACTTATGTTCAAAACTTGAACATGAATTATTATGATATCATTAATATTCTAGTAACTAGTCATATTTTTGCAAACCATCTTTATTTTGGTCATATTTATGTAATTATTTCGATAATTTTACTACGTAAATCGTTATACAATAAGACTCATAATATATTTAAATAAATGGCATTGAAAGGAATAAATATTGATTAATAGGGGTGGAAACAGGCCAGACAAGGCTTTTGGCTAAACAGGCCGGGCCTGGTTTGGAATTAATAGGCTTGAGCCTGACATGTTACCTGTTAAAGGCCTATTTTTTCAGCCTGAGCGTGGCCTGTTTAAAAGCCTGGTCTAGCCTGAAGCTTGTTTAGTGGGCCTATTAAGGAAAAAAAATCAAAAGTTTATAAAAATAAAAAATAAAAACCGAAAAATCCTATTACCCGATATAAAATTTATCCTCCACATATTCACCAAAAAGTCTAGTTTTGTTTTGAATGTCTAATAATACATCAATTTTTTTAATACGTCAATTATGTAGCTTATTAATTTTTATGTACTTTAAATCTTGAAAAGCTTTGAATTTCAATTACCCTAATAACCTATTAACACACTTTATATATTTGAAATAGCTAGTATTCTAATTTATAATACATACTCCATTAAAATACTATTGTGCCTAGTTTGCTATAGTTAAGTATACTAATATATAATTATTAATATTACAAATAAATTTCAATATAACTGAATATATATGTACAAACATATATGTATATATATACACACATATAAATAGGTTGGTCTGTTAAGCTAAAAAGGCTTCAGAGTTGGGCTATGCCTGACCTATTTAAGTAAATAGGCTTTTCAAAAAGCTCAAACCTAGTTTGATTATTAAACAGGCCAGACCAGACCTTAAACAAGCCAGGCCACAGGTCCCTGATAGGCCGTCTGACCTATTTCCACCCCTATTGATTACTCAATAGTCAATAACGTTTACCTTCTAAAAGATCGTTGCACACCAATTAGATGTTGGTTCACCTTCTACATAGAGATGACGGGGTGCTTCTTAAAATTAAGCGGAGGAAGGGTATTTAAGCCCATAAAAAGAAGAAGTACAATGATTTAATAAAAATGTACAACATCTTATGCTTATAATATATGGACATAATTCAAGGATACTAACTCACATTCACAATTATAATGTTTTTAGATTTAGATTAGACGTACAATACAAAACAACAAATCAAATAAATATCTAACATTGAGTAAAAAAATTGGGTAATGTATCAAACATTCAAACCACACAAGTTAAATGGTATATCAGTATATGGGGAATATTTGGCACTTATGATGTTTTCTTTTGGATTGTTTTCAGTCCCAGATCAGACCAGACTTTTGTAGTTATAAAATACACAGAGACCTGACGTTTACCAGACCAGTTCAGACCAGATCAGATCAGACCAGACCAGAATAGACCAACAAATTTCAGTCCAAAAGAAACATCCTTACCTCTTAAATTAATGAAAAGTTCGCAACTTCATGGCCTCTCGAAGTGAAAGAAAAAAATAGTGTGGGCAGTAAAACTTTAAGAAAATATTTTTTGTACACGTTTTTCTGCAATTTTACACGTCGATTGAGAATTTTTCTTTTGAACTGTTTTCAGTCTCATACTAGATTAGACTAGACCAGGTCATTTCAGACCAGACTAGATCAGATCAGACTAG